TGTTAGAAACATAACAGTTTTGGACACGAACAGTCGGACCCGGAATTGACGACATATCAGGCACATATGAAGCAAAGGGCCTGAAAATTGTTACCCGATAAATTCCAGCTCGACTCGAACTCCGTATTTGCTAGAATTTGATTTGTTCACAGTAAATGATGCATAACTTAATGAGTGAAATTTAGCAGAAGGAAAAAATACCGATGTTCAAAGGGTCACAACATCGCTTTATATAGCCTATTTGTGCTTTACAAAATGCAGTAAAATAATAAGCTTACTAAAATGAAAAGTTATCAAATCAACCATGGTTTTTTTTTTTTTTTNNNNGGTCATCATGGAACCGAATGGTTCTTGAATTATCAACTCAAGTACTTAGAATCAGGGTATCCTCTGATCTTTCGACGTACTTAACTGACAAAGCTGAGGATCTCAAGTAATCAAGCTGGCAGGAAATAATGTATAACTAGTGTCGTCAAGAAGAGGAAAACACAAGCCAGAAATAAAGTATGTTAAACATACCTGAAATTGACATGTTCTAGCTCACAAGCTTATCCTATTGTCGCCTGTATAAATAAATAATCAGCATGTTCTACCTGCAAATGTCCAAGTTAGAAACCCTCGATAAAGAAAAACAAGCTCTTGCATGCACAGTGTTTTTTCAGGTAATGACAGATTAAAAAATTTCAAAAAGGCCATAAAACAAAGGGAAAGACAAATATAAACACCACTAACAAGAATATCAATGAGTATACTGAATACTCACTCTTATGCTAATTTGCGTACTTATATAGCCACCATATGCAGAGAGAGAGAGACAGAGAGATAACAATCTTCCAGATATTTCACTTCGGTAATAACACTACTTTCTACAGGGAGTTTCACAACACCTAATCCATAAAAAGCTGCCATGCAGTCCTAATTTACACGACTCTAATAATTCATAATACAGAGTAATGAAACTAATGGACGGCCTATGGATCCGCACGTCCTACGAACTCGTCCTCGCTTTCGCTCCTTCCGCTAAATGCCTCGTCATCGCTTACATCATCACCACTTTCATCTGTTAAGTTGTTCTTAATGTGCTCCTTCTTTGCATACCGCTCGCAATACTCTACGCCACAACAAGAAAGAGCAATTTAGACACAAGTGGTAAAAATAGTTAGTAATCAGAAGTCTTAACAGTGCTTACAAAGTAGTTAAAGCCAGCATTTGGTAGTGCACACGAATATGATGTAAATGTTTACATTAATTTGTATAATCCAAACAGTAGGCATGACTCTCTCTCTCTCTCTCTCTCTCGGTCTCAGTGATTGCAAAACAGCCGGTCAACCCCAAACAATTTTCCTCCATAGACTAGTTCTTTATCTCTAAATTTCGTTTTTTCTCTCCCTTTAAAAAAAAATATGCAAGAGATTTGGATCTCTCAAATGGAAAGAGAGAAGAATTGCAACTCACCTTTGACTTTTTGTTCATATTTGGCTTTGTCTTTCATCATCAGTGATGCTGC